TTCTAGAGATCGTAAAGAAAAAAAAAGCTGATCAAAACCAAGGGCCAGCCCCCAGACTAGTCCAGATATTGTTCCTGCATTTACTGCTGGAAACCTGAGGAGCTAAGGTTGATATAAAGCAGTTCCAAAACAAGGCTGAATGGTGAGTCAGCCAGGGAACTTTTACCTTTGTTCCAAGTTAAGAACAGCTGTGAAATATGGAAGTCTGAGATAAGATGGTTTATGCTTAGAAATAAACCCTGAAGTCACCTTAACGTTTTAAAGAGCTGCTCCCTTTCATAGTAAATGTCATCTCACCCTGCTTGCACACTAGTTTTGACAACACTTTGTTTTGCAAATATGATTGAAAGACACTGAGGAGCCTGTAGAAAAGACCGTGTACAGCATCCAGATGATAGTTAAATTTAGGCTATGACTACAAATGGGACATGGTTTGACCAACTGCATGTCAAAAGCTCTATAGTTTTGGGAGTATAAGCAATTGATAGGTACGGTAAATGCAACTGTGTTGTATCCTTGAGAATCTACATTGTAGGCTATTTGTGATAAAATGCTTAAATATGTTATTAATTTTAAATGACCTACTGGATTAAAGAACAACCCTGTTGGAACAGGTAATTACATCCAATCTTAATTCCATATTAAGTATGTCAGTTTTAAATACTTGATTTTAAATGTGGAACATTTGTCTTACTAAGTATAGCATACGCTTACCTTTTTGGTAAAGACTAGAATTTATAATTTTTAAAAGATTGAATATCAGAATGTTTTACTCACTTTTAGTCCTTAAATTTTATTATTCATTCCATTCATAGTTAATTCTCTTTATTATAAGTTTAATCAATATCTCTAAGTTATAACCTTCTGTTGAGCTTCTATTCTTATTTTGCTATTAGTGTTTGAAATTTGAGACCCAGGTTAGGGTGTTAGACTAAGAAGTGGGAAACTTCACACAGCTATGGTAGTTCAATGTGTGACATTAAGTTAGTGACAATCCTACTTCACATATTATGCATGGTTTGCTTGAGTAAGCCTCAACTGGTTAGATTATAAAATGCCAAGCCACAAATCATGATTTACAAACTAACATGACCGGGTCGATGCAAGAAGTTGAGCATATTTACTAGCAACTATATTATGGCTTAGTATGTGTGAACAGGATTGTTATTTTGGGTGGGGATATTATGTACACCATCTTCAGGTCCTGAAGAAAAAGTGGCATATAAATCTAATGAAAGAAGAGATGATTAAATGTATTATTTTAAAATATAATAATATTTTAGATTACTGAGATACTTGAAACTGAGAATACATGGGAAGGAGAGATTCTTTCAGAAGCAAAAGTCCATGGACCACAGAGATTTGTTGATTACTTTTCATGTCTCATCAGGCTAACTTGATTTGGGCTTGGAAGTTAAGTAGAATCAGACCTGGTTAGTGCTTAGATTGGAGACCACAAGGGGAATATCATGACTGTTGGCTAGACTGAGAAATCAGAGAAACCCAAAGGCAACCAAATTCCACATTGTTGCCAAGAAAGCTACATAAATGTACCAAATTGTCAGTAGTGGTCAGCCTCGACTCAAGTGTGTCTATACCCACTAGAGTGGATATAGTGGGTACAGTGATGTTAGGACCACTCATACCAGCAAACCCTATAATTTGCTTTTCCTTTCACAGGCTTTTCTATTGTTTTATTAATAGAATCATGACACAGCTGATCTAATTATATAACATTGTCTCCACATATGGTGTGATGAAGAATTTTATGTACATTGTAAGAATCATTGGTGTATATACAAAGTCATCCTTTTACTGAGTGTGGCCATTCTAAATGGGACGTTGTCTTGGAGACCTAATGGTACATTAGTAATAAAAGTAAGCTAATGTGAGGGTATCTAATTAATATAAGCAAATAAATGAGAAGAACACTATCCTGTTTTATTGCTTGCCAGCAATCAATTTCTTACTCAGAGGTAACTGCAAAATTATGAGAATCCAGAGGTCAGGAAGCTGAATGAGGAAGATACAAGACCCATTCTTCCTGCCAAAGGGTAGTGCAAGGCATATTAAAAAACAATTAGACATGAATTCTCCTCCTCCTCCGCCTCCTCCTTCTCCTTCTCCTTCTCCTTCATGGTTTCTGCATGGCTACTGCAAACATTTAAGATATGAAAGGAATGAATCAATGAAAAAAATATGACTGTCATTATTGCTGGTAATACAGTGTATCCAAACTTCCTATTTTATCAGTGGCACTCCCACTGGAGTTATAAAGTGGTTGATTTTTCTACAACAGTTATTTAATTGAGAAAGGAAGGAAGGGAGGGAGGGAGGGAGGGAATTGTTTCCTACATGCTCACCCTAAAGTCCAGATGCAAGCAGAATAAGAAGAAAGTCTCCTGTGAAAGAACTGATGACCTCACAATAAAAGGATAAGCAATCTGCATTTTCAGACATCCCCGAATTAGACTAGTCTCATGCGCCATTGGAAGTTGTTGGATTACAGCTCCTATTATCTTGCGCTGTTGAGTTATGATGGTTGAGAATAATGGGCATGTACACCTGGGAAGCCAGAGTTTAGGTTTGCAATGTAGTAACCAGCAATTTCACTTGAACCTGCAAATGGTTTGGTAACCTTAATGGTTGAAAGAGTGAAGTCATTTGTTCCTAGAATATGTCCTCATAATTGACAGGAGTAAGAGATTTCTTGAATTGTTGGCTTGGTATAAGAATAGGCTTTTTGCCCTGACCTGGCTGATTATCAGCCTTGTATGTCCACCGTCGTATAATTTCATTGCAGCTGTTCTCCTCAGGGTTCCTTCATAGAAGACTGTAAGGTTTAGATGCAGATAGAACTACCCAGAAGGCTGTGAGAAATATGTAGATGCCCCTTGTTAAAACCCGGGAATTAGCTTTTTGCCTTTCCTGAGTTAGGGATGTATGACTAAGAATTAATTTGACCCATGTTAATGTTACTTATCTTCAGATGAATATCCAGCATAAAAATCTTCATTTGTTGTTTGCAGCTTTCTCTACCCGCATAGCTTTTGTAATCTGCTTGCTTTAATAAAAATATTTTATTGTATATTACCCTGATTTGCACTTTTTGAAATCTCTCTCCATCTAACATTAGAGCATATTATAAGCTCTATTTTTTTTTTTTTGGTATACACCTTTTTCAAATGATACTGTTTTGGATGCATCTGTTACAAAGAAGTCCATATGTTCCATATTGGGTTGATTTTGGTGGATTATGTCAGTTTACTCCCATAGAAGTCCATGGTAGATTGTTTTCTAGCACATTCAGTCTGCTGCCCTTTGGGCTTAAGATGTTGGAGCTTCACCACCTTCTAGCAGAAGTTCTGGTCATTTGCTGGAAGTCAGAGTTTAAGTCCCAGCCTGGCCCTGATAGTACTGTAAGAATAATTTGAACTTTTTAATTTATTTAGTTTATTTATTTTAGATGCTGCCCAACTCCGATCAACTCTGGCTCACAGCATAAACATAATGTATTATGTTTCTGCTAATGTGCTCATGTGCTACTCTCTGCATTGGATCAGTTAGCTATTTTAGTTTGTATATTCACACTCCATTCTGAGTTACAAAACCAGAATTCTTTCCCTGTATCGGAGGTGTACTTTCTATTTTAGAGCACAAGATGGACTCCACTTATTTCTGGTTGCTTAAAGCTGCCAGTAGAAATCATTGTCCTAAGCACCTCTCTTTTAAAATGTTCTTGCTGTAGCCTGTCCAGATGTGTGCTTCAAAATGTTGGAAGATACTGTGTTCTAAATCTTCAGGGGAAAAAAGAAGTTAGCCTTTATTTTTTTGCAGAATAATAGAACAAGCAGCCTGAGAATATGAGGATCAGCAGCTTCAGAGAGATTAGATTTATGTGGATTACACATTTGAAATGATGAGAAGAAAGAATGGTAGTCTCATAGAAATGAAAAGCACAGATTTTTACTTTTTGTGTGTGTGTGTGTGTGTGCAAAGAGTTGATTCCTGTTGGTGTGAACAAGCTATCTTGCTTTATACTGGTTTTATGAATGTTGGCAATATCCTAATTTTTAGGTTTTACAAATATTAATATCAAACATGTTAATTGTTTCAATGTCATACAGTGCCATTTTATTATCCCTGGCTGTATCTTTTTATTTTCAGTGCCTTGCTGTCATTGTTATTTAAACTGGCAGTCTTTGGTGACCCATATAAGATTGGGGAAAGATAATAGAACCAGTATGGTGTAGTGATTAAGGCACCGGGCCAGAAACTGGGAGACCATATGTTCCAAGTCCGCCTTAGGCACAAAGCCATTTGGTTGACCTTGGGCCAGTCATTCTCTCAGCCCTAGGAGGGAGGCAATGGCAAACCAATTCTGAAAATCTTGCTGAGAAAACTGCAGGGACTTGTACAGGCAGTCACCAGGAGTCAAAAACTGACTCAGATGTATGTATTGTGTGTTTATGTGTTTGTTGCAGAATATAGCTTAATATGGTATTACTCCTGATCAATACTTAGGGTGTGCCATATGTATTGACAATATATTGAATGATCTCTGATTCATGATTTTGGGCATGTTTGAACAAAACAACATGAACATGAACAAAAAAATAAGAGCAAAATCACAAAAGACCAGTAAAGTATGATTTTTAAGAATGTAGAATGAAAAACAGTACATGAATCAGAGATCATTCAATATATTGTCAATACATATGGCACACCCTAAGTATTGATCAGGAGTAATACCATATTAAGCTATATTCTGCAACACACACAAAAACACACAATACATACATTTGAGTCAGTTTTTGACTCCTGGTGACTGCCTGTACAAGTCCCTGCAGTTTTCTCAGCAAGATTTTCAGAATTGGTTTGCCATTGCCTCCCTCCTAGGGCTGAGAGAATGACTGGCCCAAGGTCAACCAAATGGCTTTGTGCCTAAGGCGGACTTGGAACATATGGTCTCCCAGTTTCTGGCCCGGTGCCTTAATCACATGACGCTTGCTGAAAATGTCATTGGAGGACTGTTCTTTGATTTCCCAAAGCAGCAGCTACACATTATGGAAGCCATGTAACCAGTTCTTTCTATCCTCTGGTAACATGCAGAAACAAACACAGCTGATTTTCTATCTTCAAAAGCACCAGTCATGGATTAAATGGTCAAAGAATTTCATAGGGTGACTGTTCATGTCATATGTAGTGTTCATATCCTACTGGCAGTGGCGAAGAGGAGATATTGACATGGGTTGCTGTCTCATACACAGAATATGTAAGAGAGGAACATATAATCTCACACAGAACTGTCCGTTGTGCTGAAATTTGCTGGTTACATTTACAGTGGATTTTCTTAGTCTTTGGGTTTGCTATCAGATAAAACTTCCTGAGTCTAATAATCCATCCACAATGGAAGCAAGCAGAGTTCTAATGTATTTGCCTTGAGAATGGCAATTATATATATTTCTGAAATATCCATTTTTTAACACATACTAACAAAACCAAACCTGGGATAACTGTGTTCATTTAGAAAATGTAAATTAGAAAATCTGTATTTGAATACACCAAGGATGCAATTCTATATTTCACTGTTAATGTAGTAGAACAATAAGATTTTCTGATAGTAAATATGTATAGGGTTTGATAATGGTAGAAATGAAACCTCTTCTTTGCATATCACAGAATAGTTGAGGTTATATAGCAAGGAAGTTGGCTCTCTTTGGTTTAACTGTGATGCATCTCAGTTTAGATCTCAGTGTGTTCTGTTTTCTTGCTGATCCTAGTTTGCTTATTTATTTAGTAGGTTGGGATGAGGTATTTGATAAATCCCTGCTTTTGGACTTGGCAAACCTTAAGAGGGACTAAAACAGAAAAACTGAGGAGGGAATGCATAAACACAGAAGACATAGATGCTAGAAACAGCAAACATGAAATAAAAGTCATATTAATCTGAAGCAATCATCTAATTATCTGGCTGTGATTCAACTCACAGTTAAATCACTTAGCTCAATGTTCTCACCTCCTCCTACCTTTTAAAACAAAGTCTTATTTTGCTTCTCAAAACAGCACAGCCAAATACAGCGTGGTGACATTTCTACCTCGATTCTTGTATGAGCAGATTAGAAAAGCTGCAAATGCTTTCTTTCTCTTCATTGCCTTACTGCAGGTATGTCTCTATTGTTGAAGTAAAATGACTACATGCATAGCTTAATTTTCTACAGTGACAGGTGAAGAATCTGTGAGTACCAACTCTTGTGGCAGTGATGAAGTTGCAGAAGTCTAAACCTTATTGCATGATGAATTCAGTATATTCAAAAAAATGTATGTAGATCATTTATCCATTTTGCCCTGAATCATAACAGGTATTTGTAAGTTGAATGTTAGCCTAGAAAAGTTCGGTTAATGATAAATGGTTAATGCTTTTAGCCTGTTGTTATACACAATAGTATCAAAGCAGGAAATAGCAGTCTTAACTAAAACCAGGCTTGGATCTTGGATTTTCCAACTCAAGTTCAGTGATATAAGCTGAAGTCAAGAATTGTATTGGTCAGAGAAAACAAGAAGGCCACAGTCATGCGGCAGTAATCTCAAGCAATCAGGAAGCACTGCATTGATTATCAAATAATTGGAGTCAATACTGCACATTCCTATACTGTTTTGTGCCAAAGCTGTCTTTCCTGATTTTGGGTCTCCAGTTGTTACTGACTAGAACTCCTATCACTTCTGATTGTTGACTAGGCTGGGATGATGTGCACTGCAGCTTAACAACATCAAGAAATCTAACTCTGGTAAAAGGCTGTCTAACTAGAGCTCTGAACCTTGATCACACATAGTCCAGTGTAGTTACTTTTAGTCCCCAATATTATGGGCTAATGACACATCTTAGTACAGATAGGGTCACTTAAGAGCAGCTATAGAGAGAGGATATTTACATCCTAAATGTTTCATAAATCTCTGCCCAAGTGATTCTGTCAAGTCATATTTTTTCTGACATTGGATCCCTGGAGAGATAAAGCAGCAGAGAAGGGGCATTATTTTGAGTACTGAAGCAGCATGAAAAAATAAGACAAAAATAACTTCCTCAATCATCTGCTCACTTTAAATTCCCCCAACTGAAATTTCTTAAGATATGACATTATTTTTCTTGTATATGCTTTTACTTCAGCATTGCCATCACCTTGCTTTGAATACTTTTCTAAATGCATATATTTCTTTTTCAGCAAATTCCAGAGGTCTCTCCAACTGGAAGATATACTACCTTGGTGCCATTGCTATTTATTCTAACAGTTGCTGGCATCAAAGAGATTATAGAAGATTATGTGAGTATATCTTTATGTGTTTAGAAGAAATGTTTCTCCCTTTGCAACGTAGCAAGAGACATTCAGATGTATAAAACTACCTATCATGCATGATTACTCAAGTCACTTTGATAGTAGCTCCAGTTTGAGACAATGGCATACTGAAGATTTAAATATATATATATTTTTAAATTAACCACCCAGTAGGATAAACTAGGAGCCCACTATCTTGATGACTAGGAGAAAAATAAGTGTTTTTTCCTGTTTCCAAATTTTTTTGGATTTTTCAGATGTAGCATAGTAGCTCCCTGGTCTTGTTACATGTAAAATATAGTAAGTTTGATAAAAAAATTTCCTGGAAGTTCCTGAATATTGCAACATATGGGAAGGTTCACATACTATAAATGAAAAGTTTTCTGGAATTTTATGAGTAAAGTTGCATATGTAGCTATGCAGAAAGGATTTACTCCAGTTTAATGGAACAAAAGGACAGTGCTTCATCACTTGTGCTAGTTGCTTTAATGCAAGGGTAGCAAAAAGTTGTGAAGACGTTACTGAAATAAAATTCCCATCAATCAAGATTGACTACATTAGCTTAGATTGATGGGAGTTGAGATTCTACCCCATCTGGAGGATTATAGATTACCATTTCCTGCCCTAATGTGTGACCCAGAAAATGATCCAGCTGAGAGGAGGACCAGAGCTCTTTTCATGGAAAAAACCCTAGGAGGAACCCTCAGCATTATCATGTAGATAAAGCATCAAATAGTAGATATGAACAACATTGTTATCTGAGGTACTACAGTGTTAGTACCAGTCAGAGCAGACAATATGGGACTAAGTGAATAAAAGTTCTGACTAAGTGAAAAACATAATGCTGCTGAAGCTAGTCTGAGTCTATAAGCTGCCTAAATCAGTGAACACCTGGGAATCAGAATGAAGCAATGGAGAAAAGACAGACGTTTAATAAGAAATACATTCCTTGAACATACAACTGTATGGCCGCTTAAAAGGTATTAGTGAAAATCCAGTGTTGCTCATTCCATGAACTTCCTTGATAAATTGGCATATGTCAGTAGAGCAGCTGCTTTGTATATATTCTCCTGCAACCCCCAAATCTGATGTAGAGGGATACTCCAAGATAGATAGTACATTTGGGAGAGGGAGGAGAACAAAGGGAAGTAAGCAAAAGTCCCCTTTACTCTTCCATTATACATATATTTGGTAATCATTACCTACAGGAATTAAAAAATGCTACTCCATCTTGAACTTATGGCAAATAGTAGGGTTCATACTAATGCATAGGAGAAAAAAGCCCATGATATTAACACTCACTAGAAACAATGATATATATTAGGTTTTATGCTTTGCTTTAATCTTTCAGGCCAGTTTTTTACCCAACTTGAATACAACTAAATGTTTGTGTTTTGGCTTTTCAACAGAAAAGACACAAGGCTGACAGCACAGTGAACAAAAAGAAAACAGTAGGTAAGGCCTTTTAAATTTCTTTTATACAAATTGTGCTATAAGAAGAATTATAACCTGACTAGTGAATAGTTACATCTAGTTTTAATAATGTTTGATATTGTATTATTGTGAAATATATGGTTAAGCTATGACTTCTATTATAAATTATGTAACTACTTGTCATACTCTGCTTTGATTTGTTTTAATAATGTTTTGCCTTTGACTTGTAGCTTGTAGTTCTTCTGACTAATTTGCTGTATGGTCTTGGGTAATGGCTGATTCAGTTCTAAATAAATGAATGTGAGAGACAATTTATTGCAAATCAGTAATTAATACCACTGGTTGCATCCTTTAATATTGTACTCTTCTCTGTAATTCATGTGGGCAGAAATAACATCAATTGGGTTGAAGCATTTAATGACAACAGGGGTGCAGTGCTCATCTGGAAATTATCACTGAGTTTAATGACATAGAATAGCATACTGTAAGAGACTTTAAATTCAGATCAATTCTCTCAAGTGATTTTTTAACATGGCAGCTCATGTTTGAGAGAGCAGGAATAATTACATTATTATTGCAGGCTGCCATTTCTTAATTAAAGTACACAATATTGATTTCACTGAAGGTTTGCAAATACAAGAACTTGATCCACCCAATAACTGCTATGTAATTTGTAGGGGAAAATTGAGCAGTATTTTTTAAAGTTCAAATTAACTTGAGAACAGAGCAGGCTACATTAACTACTCCACATTAAAGGAATAATGAAGGGCAGGGCCCAAGACTGCTTCCTGACTCATAGGCAGCTCTTGATTCTGCCAGTCAGAAGCAATGTTCAGCAATGCCATCTTCCTTGCCTTAATGCATGTTTTGTGGAAAGAAAAAAAAAAAAAGGAAAATCCCCCATAAAATCTTCTGAATTAAGGAGTTTTGATTGCGCAGTGAAAGATTTATCCAGAAGCACTCTTAAGAATGCTACCTTGTCCTTCACTGCCAACTCAATGAAGAGAAGAAAGGCCTAGAAATGGGACTTGCTGGTAGCATATGGCAAAGTTCCTGAGTTCAGATTGGGTAAGCTGGAGTTTTGATTATAAGCAATTAATATAAACTTATATAAGCCATCTCAAACATCAGGAAGTCATCACTGAACTGCCCATAATATAGAAAGTACTAAGCTAGATGGACCAAGGTAGTTTTCAGGGTTCCTTGGGCATTTTGAAGGGAATCAAGTTAGGTCCCAGTTAGCCTTCTTCCTCTACCCTAGTCCTTCTGAGTTGTTGTTATATGTTAACTTTGTTAACTTTTGATTTTAGAGGAAAAATTACATTTTTCTTTCCCTCCTGCAGTTTTAAGAAATGGGACATGGGAGAATATTATGTGGAAAGAGGTAAGAACTATTTTTAAGATGGTCTGGAAATTTGCAACTCTTTGATGGGATGATGAGTGATTTTGATCTTCTTTGGTGTTTCAGAGCTGGGCACTTGAATGTTCTTAATTCCTGAATCTTATTTAAGCAATTTGAATATTTCTCACATTGTGTATTCATTCCCATTATCAGTCCCAAGAAAAGCTTGTTTGTAAAAATGTATATCCCTTTGCGTAATGTAAATACATAGTTCCTTGCCTGTGGAAGTACAGAGAAGATGACATCAAGCTTTTAAAGGACATCTGTTATTTCTTTCTGGCTAGTTCACAGTCACATGTACAATGAGTGATTTTATTCTCTGAATAGGGAAGATAATACCATCCATAGACAAAAGGAGGCTTTGGGAACTCACAAGCTTTTAGAACAACATTGTATCCTCTTGCCCACAGTCTGTACCCACTTGGCTGGGATTAAATCCATAGAACTGGGAGTAAGTCCCATAGAGGGAAGGAAGACCTCTAAAACAGTTTGTGGGGCTGGGGTACATGCACTGGACATAAAATATTGGGACAGGGAGGAAGAAAATGAAGTGAGGAATGGAATTACAGACCCTGGAAGAGGCCATGACTGTCTGGCAATAATTGTGCATATGAGTGTATCAAGCTACATTTTGATGCAGATCAGATTTATAGGTTTTAAATCTTCATTCTGGTAAGCAGTTAATAATGCATGCCTTAAATCTTTTGAGGAAGAGAGCCAGTAAACCAATTCGTGAGATTAACTGTACAAGGTAACATTTGCATAGCACCAAGAAAGTATGTCTCCTGAAATCCGGGAAGGGTGATATGAGATGATGTTTTCTTTCAGCTCTTGGACCATTCTAATTTTTGATTCCAGAGAGGAAGGCCATTTAGAAGAGGCACATTTTATTTCAGTTGGAAAAATCGTGCCCTGTTCAGTGTGGCTGCCACTATAGTAGAAGGAGATTTGTAAAGACCACTGTAAATAAAATTGAACAAAAAACAATACTTGATACACCTCAGATAACTAAAGAAAAAATATCAAAACCTCAGAGAAAACTGAATTTGAAAGTGTAAAAGGTATCTTCTATAGCTTTACAATCAAGTAAAAAAAAAAAGTACAATGAGAGCATTGTTTCCAAGAGAAATCAGTGTATGGTTATGCTTAGTATAATGTTTCCTGAGTTTAAGCTAACTAACCATACTCAAGATTGTGGAGTCCTTGGGGTTCTCTGAGCTTGGTTGTTTTCTTGCAAACGTTTCGTTACCTAGCTAGG